GGGTGAGTAGGGGAGGGGCAGAAAGAGAGAGGGGACATAGGAACCAAAGCGGGCTGCAGGCTCTGAGCTGTCAGCACAGAGCCTGATGATGCAGGGCTTGAACCCACAAGCTGCGAGATCGTGACCTGAGCTGAAGTCAGACACTTGAACTGAGCCACCCAGGCGCCCCAAAGCAATATTTTTAGAAAGTTTGTTTTTGTTGTTTATGTTTATTTATTTTGAGAGAGAGAGAGAGAGAGAGAAAGCATGAGCAGGGAATGGGCAGAGAGAGGGAGAGAGAATCCCAAGCAGGCTCTACACTGTTAGCACAGAGCCCGATGTAGGGCTTGAACTAACAGTGAGATTTATTTGAGAGAAGAGACTCCCAAGTAGGCTTCACACTGCCAGTGCAGAGCAGTTTTTTATGAAAATAATAATAATAATCCTTTAAAAAAAGAGAGTCATCTAATTTTCTTGGGGTTCAGCTTGTCTGGATTCCACAGGAAGTTTTCCTATGGCATCAAAGAAATTGAAAATGGCAGCAAAGTGAAAGAATCAGCCTCTAGATCACCACATTGTTAGTATTAACACCTACTTTGTGTTTAATACTGCACTGGTGAAGATCTTCAAGTGTTGGGACACTTATTAATATTACTTTATTGGGGTGCCTGGGTGGCTCAGTCGGTTAAGTAGGCAACTCTTTTTTTTAATGTCTATTCATTTTTTGAGAGAGAGAGAGAGGGAGAGCGCGTGAGTGGGGGAGGGGCAGAGAGAGGGAGACAGAAACTGAAATAGGCTCCAAGCTCTGAGCCATCAGCACAGATCCCGACGCGGGGCTCAAACCCATGAACCATGAGATCATGACCTGGCCGAAGGTGGATGCTTAATCAACTGAGCCACCCAGGCATCCCTAAGTAGACAACTCCTGATTTTGGCTCAGGTCATGATCTCATGGCTCATGAGTTTGAGCCCTGCATCAGGCTCTGCCCTGATAGTGTGGGGCCTGCTTGGGATTCCCTCTCTGCCTCTCTCTCAATAACAAAATAAAATAAATAACTTAAAAAAATAATAATCAGCTGTAACAAATGTACCACATCAGTACAAGATGTTAATACAGGAAACAGGGGTCGGGGAAGAGGGGATATTTGGGGACTCTGTACTTAACTCCTCAATTTTTCTACAAACCTAAAAGTACTCTAAAAAATAAACTAATTAAAACAACCACAAAAAAAAAACACCCTCAGCTGACAACTGGTGGGATTTGATTAGGAACAGGTGGAAGACAAGGAAAGGAGCAAAGGCAGGAAATCTGGGAGGACGTGCTTTTGTCTTTCTCCTTCTGTCATTTGTCTCCTTGGTCCTGGGGACAAACTCCTCACCACTTTTCCTCCCCCTACCATATTTACACATTCAGTCTGTCTCTCCTGTCACTCCAAAGGCATGAGAGTTGGAAATTTGGGTAATTTCAACAAAAAAACATTTTCATATTGAGGAGGATGGTGATGCTGACTAACTGGACATGGAGATAGGCCCAGTTATAGGCTGTGAACTCAAGTCAGGAATGGGAGAATCTGACAGGATCCAAAAACTGCCTGAGCTATACAGAAGCAGCAGACTCTTGAGGTGCTCCATGGGTTTAGGGTCCAGGAATTCCAGGCGACAGTGTTGGATGCCTCTAAATCCAGTTCTTCCTTCTCCCAATTTTAGGATTGTGTCCCAGTAGCTCCCTGAAGACTTAATACTCTTCTTCTACAAAACTTTTTTTTTTCCTTCTGATTTCCTTTTACTCATTAGGGGTCCCTCCTGGGACTGAGAGGAGTGAGTAAGATAGGAGGGACCTGGAATTTGTTCATTGGCCTAATGCCTTTGGCTGTCTGTCAGAGGTAGGTTATAGCACCAGAGAGGAACTTGTATGGCAAAACAACGTGGGGACTTTTATACCAGTTTTAGGAGGCACCACATGCCATTGTTTCCTGTTTTCTAGACTACAGTTTCTCTTCTAGACCCCTAGATATAAGAAATGAAACAATTCCTATAGTTCTGATATAGGCTTAGAAGTACTATCAGGGTAACAGATGTGTTTAATTAGGGTATTGCACTAGAATGACATGTAAAAACAAAAATTGGTCTTATTTGGTCTGGCTTGCTGATAGGTTCTACTTTCTCATTTTTCTACCTGGTAAGCCCATTGAATAAGAACTATTCTGGGGTCTCCTGCCTGGAAATCATTGGTGTCCCTGCCTTTTGCCTCCCTGCTTTCCCAGAAGAGACACGAATTTTTCCTGATCTAGGTGTAGGTCTAGAGAAATCCTTAGCATGACAGGGATATGGGGCAGGAAAAGCAGTAGTTACAAAGGGCGATGGACTTTTTGTCAGCATGGGACAAAGGTGAGGAGATAAAGCCTGAGCCAGGAGGAGGTGGGCAAATATTTGTGAACATATGCCCTTCACTGTTTTCAGAAGGGACAACTTTTTTTGGCTCTGGTGAAGAGAAGGTGAGTTCTAGAAAGCTGTCATTCAGATTAGAGAAGCACTGAGGAAAGGACGTGTTTGGACAATCTTGTTCCTCTGGCTTGTTTCTGGAGCAGGTGAGGACTACCCAGTTTGTAAGGGTGGGGGCAAAGCTATGTCCACCATAGGGTACTTCAAGGGTAATTAAAATTTCCAAGGGCAGCGCCATTTCTGAGCTCTGACCAGTCTTGGTGTCTCTTTCTCCCAAGCCTTCCCTGCTTCCCAACCCGAGCACTGCTTCTTTCCAGCAGGGCTGTTCTTGCTCACCCACCATGATCCAGGCTGTGCTGTTCCTTTGCTGCCTTTTTTTTTTTTTTTTTAAGATTTCATTTTTAAGTCATCTATACCCAACATGAGGCTCAAACATATAACCCAGAGATCCAAGAGTCCCATGCTCTACCAACTGAGCCAGCCAGGCACCCCTTTGCTGTATTTTGCTGTCCCCATTGGCTGTCTTTCCAAGAAATGCCCAGAAAGGGGCCCTGACCTTCTAGCCATCTGACAAAAACTGGGCACTCTCTGAAAACACTCTCCAGCCAGATGCCTCTCCAGATCCCAAGATTTTCCAGGATCTCTTGCACACCACCCCCTCCATAGCCACTCCGCCTGAGTACCTATCCTACTTAGCTGTGGGGGTGTTCTTGGAGGAGGTTTGCTGCCCGACTGAGGCCCACATTCTGCAGCTTCAGCCTGTTAGGATGGAAGGAAAGGACATCAACTGAAACCCTCATCCACGGGAGTAAAAAGCACACGGAGGAAAACATTGGCAATACAAAGGTTATTCTGAGGGATCTGGGGGGATCCAGAGGGAAGCTTGGATAAATTCCACACTCAACTATTTACCCTTTGGGGGATATATTGATGGTAGCAAATATGCCCACTGGTGAGGTAGGTCTATCAGCCATCTCCCATGTTGCTGACACAGTTCAAAGAATTTGCTGTCAATATCCCCTAGAACTGCAAGAGTAAGTCTGGGGAGTGTGGGGAAGAATTAGGCAAAAAGCTGAAGAAACCCCCAAGGTAAGGACCTCTTAGTGCTATGGATGGTGACAATATAATTTATCAAATGTTCCACAGTTATTTGGAAGTGCATTATGTAGAAATTGATTCAGTAATTTGTCTAGGTTTACTCCAGATGTTCAATGCCAACTAAGCAACAAGGGTCTCTTCTCAGGACTATCTTCAAGGATGGGACATGTTAGGGGCTCCTTGGTGGCTCAGTCAGTTAAGCATCTGACTTCAGCTCAGCTCACGATCTTACAGTTTGTGGGTTCGAGCCCTGCATCGGGTTCTGTGCTGACAGCTCAGAGTGGGAGCCTGTTTCAGATTCTGTGTTTTCCTCCCTCTCTGCCCCTCCCCCGCTCATGTTCTGTCTCTGTCTCAAAAATAAATAAACTATAAAAATTTTTTTAAAGGATAGGACATGTTAAGTAGTTAGAAATGTAGCAGATAGCTCAGGACAGATGTATGTTCTTTATTTCATGCCAGCTAAAACACATGTGATTGGTGTTAGCCTTGCTCCTCTCCACTTAGAAAGTCCCAGCCTGCAGTTAATCCATTTTGCTTTTCTTTTCTTTTTCTTCAGTCATCAAACACTGTGCATATAAAATGTACTAAGCATGAGAAGTATTTTATTTTATTTTATTTTTTTAAAATATTTTTATTTATTTCTAGGAGACAGAGAGAGAGAGAGAGAGACAGCGTGAGCAGGGGAGGGTCAGAGAGAGAGGGAGACACAGACTCTGAAATAGGCTCCAGGCTCTGAGCTGGCAGTCAGCACAGAGCCCGACGCGGGGACTCGAACCCACGAACCGCGAGATCATGACCTAAGCGAAAGTCGGACGCTTAACCGACTAAGCCACCCAGGCGCCCCTCATGAGAAGTATTTTAACCTTTTTCTCATTCATCCACCCTGTACTAAATCCCCAGGTAGATGCTGTAGCTCACTAATTTAATCCTTAAACTGAAAAGAGAGAAAATAAGAGAGAATCCTAGATATCTAATCTGTCCTGACTCTGGGTCTCCTAGCTCATATTGTGAACTAGAATGGGAATGTGACAGGAACATGTAGAAAATGCCAAAGAATAGGGTCTTAGGTATTGAGGTTGAGTGTGTGACAAGGGGACAGTTTTGAGCAGCCAACACAAAGGACAACTATTTGCAGAAATTACATCTCTTACTGGTTTTGAGGGAAAGCAAGTCTCTCCTTTCTTTCTTTTTTTTTTTTAATTTTTTTTTTTTATTTATTTCTGAGAGAGAGACAGCGTGAGCAGGAAAGAGTCAGAGAGAGAGGCAGATACAGAATCAGAAGCAGGCTCCAGGCTCTGAGCTAGCTGTCAGCACAGAGCCCAATGCGGGGCTCGAACCCACGAACCGCGAGATCATGACCTGAGCTCAAGTCGGACGCTTAACCGACTGAGCCACCCAGGCGCTCCAAGTCTCTCCTTTCTTAATGGGGCAGAGAAGTGGGCAGAACTGGACTGAGGAGCAACCAAAGCTACCAAGACAAACACTTCTTGCCTGGACTGTATGGTAATTTGGGATCCCCTAGAAATGGGTGGTAATAAAGCAGAGGAAGTCTTTGGTGACTTGAAGATGGGGAAGGCCAAATGGGAACAATTGGGCTGTGTCTCCTATTTCTGGAGCCTTTACCTAAAAATAACGGAAGTTTGGAGATGATGGCTGAGGTGTGCCCTGAGTCCTGGGCTTCTTTCAGACCACAGCCCTTAGGGAACTAGTTTGTATTTTTCTGGTTTCTCCCCTCTCCAGCGTACTATTTCAGACATGTGTGGCCTCAGATTCATCACGATACAAGTTGAGCTGCTTTTTTGCTACCTTCTGCTGCACCCTGCGGATGCCATTTCATATGGAAACCAGACAAATATTCTGATGCGCCTTCCCTCATCCTTGAGGTCCTGGCCACCTTCCTCAGACCCTTTGTTCTGCCAGACTCTGCTCCCAAAGTCCCTGCCTGGCTTCACCCACATGGCCCCTCTACCCAAGTTTTTGGTAGGCTTGCCTCTCCTGATCGCCCTGGAGAAAGCTGGCTGCCAAGCTGATGTCTGGGTCCTGCAACTTCAGTTGTACCATCAGGGGGGTGTAAAAGCTACACAGATCCTCATCCAGTATCTTCAAGGGCTCCAGAAAGGCAGAAGAACAGGAAGGACAGTTTCAGTGGATGCCCTTGCCTCTGCTCTACAGCTGTTGACCAGGGAGCAGCCCGGCCCACAAAGAGCCCAACGATCCCTCCCCATCAGTGACTGTGAGCATGAGCAGGAACAGGGTGTGCACAATATAGTCCAGCTGTTGCCGGGAGTGGGAACCTACTACAACCTGGGCACAGCTCTGTATTATGCTGTTCAGAACTGCTCAGACAAGGCCAAGGAACGAGGCCAAGATGGGGTCATAGATATGGGTTATGACTTTCTGATGACCATGGTTGGGTTATCTGGGGGACCCACAGGACTACTAATCAGTGCTGCACTTAAACCTGCATTGAAGGCTGGGATTCAACAGCTGATCCAGTATTACTATGTGAATGAGGCAAACACCCCTCTTCCAGAGATCAGCAAGGAGGTCTAGGGGAAGGCTTCAAATGTGAGTGACCTGGAAAAAACAACTTCCATGGCCCTTTGACCTTAGTTTAGCTCCCTCATTAATTCAAGGCTTATTTAATAGCCATGACTTACATTCTTGAGATGGCAGTCTTGGGATGTAAAAGGTGATGCTAACAGAATGAACAAATCTAATATTCTGACAAGCTGTAATGTGTGTTTCTTCAAAATCCAAATCTCTGGTTTGTTACCAATGAGGAAGGCAGTGCTGTAAAATGCAGGGTTGTTGTTGTTGTTGTTGTTGTTATGTTTATCAGTTCTGAGAGAGAGAGAGAGAGAGGGATGCCCAGGGGAGGGGCAGAGAGAGAGGGAAACAGGTGATCCAAAGCAGGCTCTCTGCCCCGAGCTCCATGCAGGCCTTGAACTCATGAACCATGAGATCATGACCTGAGCCCAAACCGAGTCCGTCACCTACTGAGCCACCCAGGCTCTCCCAAATGCAGGAATTTTATTTTATTTTATTTTATTTTAATGTTTTATTTATTTCTAGGAGAGAGAGAGAGAGAGAGAGAGAGAGCGTGAGCAGGGGAGGGTCAGAGAGAGAGGGAGACACAGACTCTGAAAAAGGCTCCAGGCTCTGAGCTGGCAGTCAGCACAGAGCCCGACGCGGGGCTCGAACCCACAAACCACGAGATCATGACCCAAGCGAAAGTCAGACGCTTAACCGACTAAGCCACCCAGGCGCCCCTAGGAATTTTATTTTTTATTAAAAATATTTTTAATGTTTATTATTTCTGAGAGAGAGAGAGAGAGAGAAACAGAGTGCAAGCACAGAAGGAGCAGAGAGAGGGGGAGACACAGAATCTGAAGCAGACTCCAAAACCTAAACTGTCAGCACAGAGCCTGAGGCCAGGCTGGAACTCAGGACCTGAGAGACCATGGCCTGAGCCTAAGTGGGACTTAGGCTCCCAAGGGCCCCAAAATGCAGGAATTTTAAAGTTTGGGGTTTGGAGTCAGAGGATTTGGATTTCAATCCAGGCTCCACTTGTAAGAGCCTCAGTGATCACTGATCAGTAACTTAACTTTTCTCCAAGCTCAGTTTTTAAAATGTCTAAAGTAGTGATAATCATTTTCACCCGGATGAGTTTGTGGAAATTAAAAACGATACAATGAACCTCAAGTGCTTAGCAAGGTACCATTAATAAATGCTATTTATTACTACAGCTCCTCCCTTCCTAGCCCCAAGTGTCGAAATTCCGGTCCCACCTCTTATGGAGTAGAGCCTGCAGTGGCAAGGGCTAGTCTCGGTTTCGCGGGCTTGGCGCAAGTTCTCGGAAATCAGCTGTTTCAGTCCTGGGCTCTTCCATTAACTGGACTCCTCCCTCCGCGGGGCAAGGCGTACTTGAGCTATCCCACCAATCGTTGGAGCTGGAGGTGTGGTTTCGGCGCCGCTTGTCCCGCCCCACAGGAGGGAGGAGTTGTGGTAGCGCCAATGAACTTGGAGAAGTTTGGCTGAAGCTGCAGTCAGAGTCGGGGTTTGCCCGGCTGGGTTCAGCCGGCCTCTGGTGCTGGCCTGCTACAAGGGGGCGGATCCAGGGGCGGGCCGAAGAAGGAGGGCGGAGCGCGATTGTCTGCCTGAGCGAGCTCCTTATGACCGGAAGTCTTGCACTGAATCGCTGGAGAGATCGGGGGCTGAGACCCTCGCCAGGTACCGGATCAGAGTGGGCAAGCGAGGGTCGAGGTGCAGGCGCAAGTTCCTCTCTGGGAAGGGCGGCAGGCCCCGGGAGTACGCCCTGGAGTGGTAAGCCTTCGTTCCTGGGTTGAAATAGCGGTCCTGTGCCGCATTCCGAATCTCCCCAACCTGTCCAGCCCAGCTCCCCAAGTCTATAATTCACCTCCCCAAACTCCCCTGCACCCTCCGTGTTGCATTGGTTCAGTGTCTTAGCCAACGCTTTTACCTTCCGGTCTGTGTTAGTTTTGATTCTCACTTAAAAAAAAAAAAAACAATGTCTAAAGGCAGATATGATTTAACATCTTTTGTTAAGTATATGGGACATGGGCGCCTGGATGCCTCAGTCGGTTTAGTGACCCACTCTTGATTCAATTGATTTCGGCCTACGTTATGATCTCAGGATTTGTGGAATCGAACCCCAGGCTGCAAGAGCAGAGCCTGCTTGGGATTCTCTCTCCCTCTTTTTCTGTCCCCTCCTCTCCTTGTGCTCTCTTTCTCTCAATATGAATAAACATTTAAAAAAAAAACACCAAAAACCTTAGTTTAAAAATATAAGGGACAGAAAGGTGAGACGATTTGCCTGAGCTTACATACAAAATGCAATTGTTTTCCAAAAATGCTGAGTGAGCATAAAATATGTACCTAAGAGAATGAAGGATAACTGGAAAAAAACATAAGTGTTACAGAGTTTAATCTTGGTATTTGTGATTTATTTGGAAAGACCGTGGGTTTTTGTTGTTGCTGTTGTTGTTTCATATTTAAACCTGTGTTTGACACCTTGCTCATTTAGTACCAGCTGAGATTAGTTCCTTGAGAACTGGGGCCTCTCCATTTTTTTATTAAATTCAGTATGCTTCACGCCCAGCGCAATGCCGGGCTTTAACTCACAACCCTGAAATCAAGACCTGAGCTGAGATCAAGAATTGGACGCTTAACCAACTGAGCCACCTAGGTGCCGCTCCATTTGTTTTTTACAAACAGTACAGGTACATAGTTTAAAAAGCCAAGCACTAGTAAAAGGATTAAAACAAAAGACGGGGGTGAGGGTGGAGGGCCGCCTGGGTGGCTCAGTCGGTTAAGCATCCGACTTTAGCTCAGGTCATGATCTCACGGTTTGTGAGTTCGAACCCCTCGGCTGCTCTGTGCGGACAGCTCAGAGCCTGGAGCCTGCTTCAGATTCTGTGTCTCCCTCCCTCCTCCACTTGCATTCTGTCTCTGGAAAATAAATAAACATATAAATAAATAGCCACTGGTCAATCATTTCCTCTCCATGTTTTACTTTAAGGAGGTGGAAAAGCATCTCATGATTATTCATACTGGTGGGAAAGAATCTCTCCCACTCCAAACATTTTTCTTTCATTGTAATAAAGTCATGTGACCTTTTTTAGACCGCAGATATATGTAAACACTTTTCTGTTAGGCTCAGGCTGCAGCAAGAAAAGGTTTTGGTTTCCTAAACAAACAGAGATGGTAGTGGGCAGGGAAAGACAGGCAAAAAGAGTCTTACCCCAGCCTGCTTGGTGACAGACAAAAACCAGTTTTGAGGGAGATTCCTCGGTGAAAAGAGCAAACAAAAACCGTTGCTTTCTATGCCCAGTCCCACCCTGGTGGGAAATAAAAAAAAAACTTCTGGGTCTCTCATAGAATTGATAATTTTCATGAAAAATCAGAGGTTAATAGGAGTCATAAAAGTATCACAGTCTTAGGGATTGAGTGGCCCCTTTCACAGTATTTAAACATCTAGAATGGAGTTCTTCCTTCCTACATAGAGAGCAGATTATAGGGTAAACCTGTCTCTTAAGAGGTGTCAACCTGTGATAAAGCTTTGGAGCCAGCAAGGATCATGCTGAAATAAATACTTAAAGATTAAAAACAATTTTTTTAAGTTTATTTATTTTGAGAGAGAGAGAGAGAGCACAAGTGAGAGTGGGAGAGGGGCAGAGAGAAGGAGAGAATCCCAAGCAGGCTCCTCCTGAGCAGGCTCAGACCCACGATCCATGAGATCATGACCTGAGCCAGAACCAAGAGTCCAATGCTTAGCTGACTGAGCCACCCAGGCACCCCTGAAATAAATACTTCTGACTCAAATTGATGGTTAAATCTTCCAGCATAAGTGAATACAAACATAAATAAATCTAAAATAAATTTATTGGGGATGATAGATGAAATAAATGAAGATGGTAGAAATACCATTAATGTATGGTGAAGCTGATGATTCCTGTACTATTCACTCTACTTTGTTATGTGTTTTAAAATTATTAAAACAAAAAGGCCCACATATTGGAGCCCTTGAATAGTTCTGGGAGAACATGCACCAAACTGATAATATTGGTTACCTATGGAGAGAAGGGGAAGGGACCAAGATTGGAAGTATGGTCATTGTAGCTTTAATTTTTATTTTTACTTACCTGTATAATTTTAAATTTTAAATTTGTAGTTATAAGCAATCATGAGACTGTGGATGATTTAATTCAGCAAAATTTCCAGTTGGGAACCTGCATCCTTCAGACTCAGATTCCAAATGGCGCAGTGGGAGATGCTAAAGAATCTCGACAACACTTTTCAGGATCAGCTGCACCAGCTCTACTCAAATAGCCTCCTGCCAATGGACATTCGACAATGCTTAGCTGCCTGGATTGAAGACCAAAACTGGTAAGGTCTTCAGGAAGTTGGGTACAGGCAGGATGAGGAAAGTAGTTTCCTTCTTCAGAGTCCCCCGGATCCTGGAGACACCAAGAGCAGAGAGGGGTTGGAAGGCTTCAACAGATAGTAGCAACTCTGCAGAGAGTCTTTTTTTTTTTTTTTAAGTTTATTTATTTCTTTTGAGAGAAGGAGAATGCATGGGAGGGTGAGCAGGGGAGGGGCAGAGAGAGTGAGAGAGAAAGTCCCTAGCAGGCTCCACATTGTCAGTGTGGAGCCTCATGCCAGGCTTTATTCCACAAAATCTGAGATTATGACCTGAGCTGAAGTCAAGAGTTGGACATTTTACTGACTGAGCCAACCAGGCGGCCCCCAAGATTCTAATCCTTGTCATTCCCCATCCCCAGGCAGGATGCTGTACTGGGCAGTGATGATTCCAAGGCTAACATGCTGTTCTTCCATTTCTTGGATCAACTGAATTATGAGCACGGCCGCTGCAGCCAGGACTCTGGGCACTTGTTACTACAGCACAACTTGCGAAAATTTTATCGGGATGTTCAGGTGCTTCGAGGAACCAGGAATAGCCAAAAAGCCAAATTGACAAGGAACTGAGTGTAGAGAAGTATAATTTAGGATATGGAACAGGATCTAAAGATATAAATGGATGGGGGCAGATCTGGGGAAAGGGAGGACAAGGTGTAGACTTGGGGAATCACTGGCAGAAAAAGGGCAGAGTCTAGAAGACCCTTTTAGGAAAAGACTAGGTTTTAGGGGACTAGTGGTGAAAAGGGGAAGGACTGGGGAACCTGAAGGAGGGGGAGGGACTGGAGCGGTAGATAATTGAAGACAGTTGAGTTT